AGTTCAATAAGAGCAAGTGCCGGGTCCTGCACCTGGGACGGGGAAACCCTGGCTGCACGTACAGACTGGGCGATGAGACGCTGGAGAGCAGCCTAGAAGAGAGGGATCTGGGGGTCGTGGTAGACAGCAAGTTGAATATGAGCCAGCAGTGTGCCCTGGCAGCCAGGAGGGCCAACCGTGTCCTGGGGTGCATCAAGCACGGCATCGCTAGTAGGTCGAGGGAGGTGATTGTCCCGCTCTACTCTGCGCTGGTGCGGCCTCACCTCGAGTACTGTGTCCAGTTCTGGGCACCACAGTATAAAAAGGACATGAAACTGTTGGAGAGTGTCCAGAGGAGGGCTACGAAGATGGTGAAAGGCCTGGAGGGGAAGACGTACGAGGAACGGCTGAGGGCACTGGGCCTGTTCAGCCTGGAGAAGAGGAGGCTGAGGGGAGACCTCATCGCAGTCTACAACTTCCTCGTAAGGGGGTGTCGAGAGGCAGGAGACCTTTTCTCCATTAACACCAGCGACAGGACCCGCGGGAATGGAGTTAAGCTGAGGCAGGGGAAGTTTAGGCTGGACATCAGGAAGGGGTTCTTCACAGAGAGAGTGGTTGCACACTGGAACAGGCTCCCCAGGGAAGTGGTCACTGCACCGAGCCTGACTGAATTTAAGAAGAGATTGGACTGTGCACTTAGTCACATGGTCTGAACTTGGGTAGACCTGTGCGGTGTCAAGAGTTGGACTTGATGATCCTTAAGGGTCCCTTCCAACTCAGGATATTCTATGATTCTATGATTCTATGATTCTATGATTTATTTTGAAAAATCTAAATATTTTAATTGCAGTGTCTGTGCTAAATTCCACTTTTTATAGTTAATTGTCTCATAGCTTTCATGTACAGATTACTCTTCACTTCTGATCCTATTCAGACATAGTAATGTTAGCTTGAAGCGTATATTGTACGTGGCTCCAAAAGTACATGAGCTTTTGTATTGAAAGAAATTTGGTTCTACAGCTAATCTATGACAGGTTTTTGAGATCTTTCAGTATGGCATAGTAAATTTACTCTTTCATTCCCCATATGAGTTATAAGTACAGGAAATAAATACAATTTATTATTCTACACAGATGGCTTATAACTAATAACTTGTTTTTCTCTAGTCCCAAAGACACAGAATGCTGGAGATTCTGCAGCCTTTAACACAAAGCTCATGAAGTACCCCTGTAATGAATTTGGAAAACCAAGCACAGAAATAAAGATTAATAGGAGAGCTGCATTTGGAACTACAACTCTTGTCTTAACAGATCTTGGTAACAAAGTAGTTTTGAAAAATGATAACCAAATATCTGATGGATGCTCTGAGTATGCTGCTCCAGAAAGCAATTGTGATCAGACCCACAATAACGTCTATCATTCAGGAAGAAACATGGACAAACACAGCTCAACAAATGTAACTGCTGTGGCTTCACCTTCCTATCAGGAACCATTCTCTCTCAAACCCATAAAGAAAAAGCGGAAAACTCATCATGTACCTTCTGTTCACCAATACGATGTAACAAGCGGGTAGGTATTCTAAAATGTGAACAAGTCTTTTTATAATCCCATAAACTATCTTTATCCCTGAAGATGAATGGAATGTTGTGTTGTAAGGTTCATAACTGTGGTCTTTGGATTTCTGCCAGAGGTAACTTGCTCATGAGTAACTATAACTACTATGATTTCAAAAGCACTGAAAGACCTAGGCTGTTGCTGGAGAAGTCCTGGTTTTGGCATCTGGCCAGTACACAGTTCATAGTTCAGATATTCCCATGGAACAAAGTAGTTTAGCTCTAATAGGTAAACCAGTACAGTTCTACCAAAGGAGTTGTCCAGTCACTGCTTGCCTTAGCACTGTAGTTGCTGTTTGCTTGGAGAGGTCTTGAAGTCCTTGTGAAAGATGACACATATAAACTGATGACCCTTACTAAAGTACTTATTAGACAGGTGATTATCATTTCTGTCTTAATTGTTAACTTGTTTCCCCTGTCTAAAGACAAGTATCTTTTTGCTTTCATTATTTGCAAAAATAATTATACTTATGATGTTTGTTAATTGCAACCTAAAATGAAATGGGTTTATGACTACTAAAATGTGTAAGCTATCTAAAATTTAGGTTAGAGTCATTGAACAATTTGCTATCTCATTTGAAATGTGTGAATTCTCATACCAAAAGGAAAGTAACGGAATGATATATTCTAACTAAAGCAATTTGTCAGCTAGAAATTTTCAACATTTTTCCATGATACAAGCTTCTGTTCAAGGTAGCTGGATGAACCTCCCATCTCTGTTTTGTTTTAATGTTCCTTCCCATCCTATATATATAATTACTTTAATGCTTCACCCATCCCAAATTTTTACCTATGCAGCCCTACTCAGGCACAGTCTCACATTTCTCTTCACTAGGGAACCCATTAGGATTGTCAAGGAAAACTTGGGCAGACATACACAACTGTAATGGGAGTGAAAGGTAGATGTCACTTATGGTTGTAAATAATGTAGGGTGAATATGAAAGATATTCATGTTATGCTACAAAATTATTGGTCATGTTTCTGAACAGGTTATGAAAAAATTATTTCTTGCATTGTTGAGGCACCAGTTTTGAAACAGAATCTCACTAGTTAGCAAAGTTAGGGTGTATGGATACATGTTCTCCTTGCTGACTCAGTAGAGGACTAGAGAGGACGTAGGTGGGATAAATGAGAATGAGAGGGAGTGCAAAGAAGAAGTTAGACATCATCAATCACAATAACGTGATAAATAGTTATTACCACTCACCAACTTAGACATTAAAAAAAAAACAAAACACTTTGTACTGGATTTTTTTTTTCAGGGGTGGGGATCCACGTTTTAATGAGGTGTTAGACAAAAACTTTGTCCACAGGACTGTAGTCTTCCAGACATAAAAGCAAACATACAAATTTAAGCTGAAGCTTAACAAGAATGAAAAGAACTAATTAGTTGTTTGTTTTCCCTGTGGTTTCATCACTGCTTTTCTGCTCCATAAATATATTAGAAAGACACATTTATGAAGTATAATCTTTTTCATGTTACCATTTTTAAATAAAGCCTCATGTATTGCATTCAGATAATCTCTATCTCAATTATGATGAAGGAAGAAACATGATCCCATTCAGAGAACAGTATTCCACCCCCTCAGCTGGATTACTTCCTGTCAGAATTTGATTTGGAGCATTGAGCATTGCAGTAACTTTTTAGTAAAGAGGATAGGAAAATTCTGCATTATTCACAATTTATATTGTAATCTGTCATTACAGCAAACCTCAAGTTAATATAACAGATGATAATCGTATAAAGATGGGTCATCCTCGCTGCAGTAAACATAGCCGCCTCTGCAGCCTCAGAGTTGTGAGAAAGGATGGAGAAAACAAGGGCAGGCAGTTTTACACCTGTCCTTTACCCATGGAAACTCGGTGCGACTATTTTCAAGTAAGTGTAAGACTTCAGGACCTGTATTCTAATAAGTAAGACTGCTCACTTTTTTGCTTAATTCAAATACTTGTTCATACAGCCATCTCAGCCTAATAATCTGTACTTGTGAACAGATATGATCCATTAAAAGCTTGAGGTCATTGTAAATAGTTCTGCACACTGAATTGAAATTAAGAGCATAATCATAGTTGCAAACTTTTTATTTCAGTTACTCCTCTTACAGCTGAGCATGTACCTGCTTGTGCAGATGTTCTTAATCTGCTTCAGTGTGATGTAAGACAGATGCATTGTAGAAATGTTGGTACTTGCAAAACTCATTTATTTCAGCATCTTGCTTGAAGTAGGACTAATGCAAACTCTAAATCTGGACATCAGCCATGTCTCTGTCTAGCCAAAATCTTGAAAACCTCCATAGATGCACATACTATAGTCTGGACAACTGCTTCCACCATTGCACAGTCATAGCTTCAAGTGGTGGCTACAGCTCCTTGCTGTGAACATATGTGACTGTTTGCTAGAATCATAGAATGGTATGGGTTGGAAGGGACCTTAAAGATTATCCAGTTCCAACCACCCTGTGATGGGCAGGGACACCTCCCACCAGACCAGGTTGCTGAAAGCCCCATCCAACTTGGCCTTGAACACTTCCAGGGATGGGGCATCCACAGCTTCTCTGGGCAACTCTGTCCATGTCTCACTACTCTTATAGTAAATAAATTCCTCCTTAGAACTAAATTAAGCCTACCCTCTTTTAATGTAGAGCCATTCCCCCTTGTCCTATCACTAGAGTCCCTCCCCAGCTTTCCTGTAGGCTCCCTTTTGGTACTGGAAGGCCTATAGTTATAAGATCTCCCCTGAGCTATCTCTTTTCCAGGCTGAACAACCCCAACTCGCTCAGCCTGTCTTCATAGGAGAGGTACTCCAGCTCCTTGATCATCTTTGTGGCCCTCCTCTGGATTCATTCTAATATTTCCATATCCTTGTGCTGGGGGCCCCAGAGCTGAATGTAGTACTCTACATGGGGTCTCACAAGAGACCTGCCAACAGGTAGATAACAGATGAATTCAAGGCAGTAATGGCTATCATGCCTTAATTTGAAGAAAACTCTGCATTAACATCAAGTAAACTTAGAAAGTTTGTTACAATATTTAACAGCAGTTAAAATGCATGCAGTTACACTTAATGTTGAGAAAAACAAACAAACAAAAAAACTAGAATCACTGATCACAGAAGAGATAAGTACCAGGAGTTTCTGCTAAGGCCTCTCCTGTAGATCTATCTCCAGTGCTAATTTTAAAATACGGAACTCACAGTCATGTCATATACTATAACTCTGTCTAAAAACTGTCTTTTTGCAGTGGGCAGACTTGCATTTTCCCTTTTGTAACCATGGCAAGCGATGTGTTATGAAGACAGTGCTGAAGATTGGTCCCAATAATGGAAAGAACTTTTTTATTTGCCCTTTTGGGAAGGAGAAACAGTGCAGCTTTTTCCAGTGGGCAGAAAATGAGTCAGCTATGCAGGTTATCCCTTGATGCTGATGTTTTAGTTATCAGTTCCTCAGGATGTCTTAAGTATGTATAGTTTTCCTAATCATTTCTGTTTTGTTGTTAGTTTTGTTTGGTTTTCCCTGGTCGTGGGTTAATTTTTAAAAACAGCTCCTGTAACAGTAAAAAACAAAAAAACAGCTACAGATTGGGAAAGAGCAATTTTAAACAGTTATTTTTAAAATTTAAATGAAATTAAACACTGTTTCTATGTTATGCATTATTCTGAAATAAATATCTTTCAATATACTGTGACATACTGTGTTATATTTCCAGTCAAATCATTGAACTTTTCTCTGTTTTCATATAAGTGTCACTGCACTGTCAGTACTGCAAACTTTCAACCGTATGTGATATATGGAACGGATAACTTAATGTAAATTCATATTTGAAATGGTGTATTTAATAAGTCAATAAAATATACTCTACTTCTTTATACTTCTTATACTTCAGCTTCATGGTTTATTTCTTCAGAGCTCAAAAATGAAACAGCGACAGACTGTACACTTCAAATTTTATCATAGTTGAATGTGACCTTGCTGGATGTGGAAAACACAAAAATTGCCCCACAAGTAGTAATATGACTCCACACATTTCTTACTTACACATTTTGCCATAACATTTGATTCTGGCTGCTACTATTTTTTTTGTTCCCTAATCCATATGAAATGTGTAATAAAGCCCTATCCCTTAGGTGCTTAAAACTCATTTTACAGTTGCTCATCTTACCACTCCTTGATGAAGTAAGGGGAACAGTAAACAATATACTAAAGTATAAATTGTGACATAAAGTGGAAACAATTCTTCAGGTCGTTGGAGCATGGCTGTAGTTAGCAAGGAAAACAAAACTATAATGAAGATATGACCATAGCTTCATCCATTATTGTTTTATTTGAAAAATAGGTGTTGTTTTCTGGAAAGTAGTCTGAGATAGGACAAATCTAAAAATTTCTTGTAAATGGTCCACCATTCTATGTAAATAGTTCAGAATTCATTGTATAATTTGACAACTGATTTTTCTTTTTGGGGGGAGGGTGGGGGGGAGGAGAGCATCAGGGAAGAAGGTACCGACTTAGAAGCACCTTGAAGAGTATTCAGTTTTCCTAAGAAGGTTGTGGAACTTCAGTCCAATTTAAATCTTTAGTGCCATGCTGCAAGTGAAACCAGTTAAATTTGTGTCTTAGCTAACAATTTCACAGGAGGCTTTCTTCTTCCTCTCTTCAGTAGCCTGTTACACCTTTCAAGTATTAAATCTTTCCTTCCTTATGTTAAAGTAATCTTTCTAATCAAACAGTAGAAAGTATAGTCCTTATATTGTTTGATGCACTATTTGCATGTCTTTCACGAAGATATTTTTATTTGAAGTGGGGTACAGAACGCCACCCGAGAACAAAACAAGCTACTTCACATGGTAAAGACTGGCTTATTGCTGTCTTTTTATATGATACTTATTTTTACAATGGTATGTCACTATTAGCTTAGCTTATACATCTAAATCTTAAAATTGTTATCTAACCAGTTGCTCATTTGTACAAATCATTACTATGATAGTGTCTGATAATTTTTACATGCATTTGGATGTCTTCAGTTGTTCAGCTAAACAAAAATCAAAAAGAAATAGAACCCTTTTTGATTGCTTGCCTTTAACAACTGTTAAGATCTCACTGAAACAGAGATTTAAAATGACTTTTTCTGACTTTGACACTTCAAAGATTAAAAACAACAACAAAAAAACAACCCTTAAAGCCTGTTATCTTACCAGCCAGACAAGAAGTGAATGAGTAACTGTTTACATATAGCACATGCAAGCTTTAAAGAATTAACTACTTTTATTAGCTACTGCAGTTACTTTCCATGTTGTTATATTTATAGAATATATGTGAAAATAAATGAATGCATAAGCAATATGAAAATTTAACTTGGACAGTGGAGCAGTGATATATAAATTGCATTTACCCATTAAAGATGTAAAATCTGAATCCTTTAATGAAATTAATCTTTTGTCCTGATTAAACTGAGGACTAAACTAAGGAAAAGTGTTTAAAACAAAATATTTTGTCCTGATCATTGGCTCATCTATTTAACAAGTCATTTCTCCTGACATTTGAATAATTTAAATGTATGAGAAATAATATACATTATTAAAACAGTAAAAATTTCAACTTGAATTTTATTTTAAATATCTTTCTGCATTGTCTCTGATTAATGATACCATTTCTGGCCAAAGAGTAGTCTCACAAAATAAATATTTAGCTCAGAAAAAGACCTTGAGACATAATTTAGCAGATAAAGTGCAAAATGATTGAGAAGAATTCTGAAACTTAAAAAATAAACTTAAGAAGTTTAAACAGGAAATAAGGCAGAAGCCATACAGAAAGACAGGGTTATTATGTGCATAATGAAAGTTTTGTTTATGGAGTAAATAGAAGAGTGAAAGATCTAGACCTGTGTAAGGTTGTCAATATTTGGCTTGCACTGAGTATTTTTATCTTTATGTTTATTATATAAACAAAATTTAGAAATTAACATACAAGCAATTTTTGGACTGCTATGTCTTCCCCAAACCTCATGAAGGTAGGGTATACTGGTGTCAATGGGAGCTTAACTGCTCTTTTACATAGGTAATGCTAACATGCTTTTCATTAAATAACATGAAGACTACAAATTATTTAATTATAATCTCATCTCTCTCCTATATAAGAAAACTTATATCAGAATAGACACCCTCTATACCTCCCATAAAGGATCTGCAATCAAGGGGTCAGAGCAGGTCTCGAAAGGATCTCTTGTGTTTGCTCAAAATAAAAGTCTTGATTTTGCTGTTTGTCCCAGTAGCTTACAAATGTGTGGTGTGTCCTCCCCCAACGATTTATCTATTATAGTGCAAATGATAGAACACACTTGTTTTAGATTCTTATATTACTTACCCATTTTAATGACTTGTGTTGCATGCAACCAGCTGTTAAGGGAAAAAAATAAAGCCTTAGTTAGAAGAAAGAACTATCTATCCTAAACGCTTTTTTTTATTATTTCTTTCCTCATGAAATCCAGTATAAATGGTTTTAAAATGTCATTCTTAGATGCCTCGGGGTTCTGAGAGAGTTGTTACTTTAACCTCCTGTATCTGTACACAGCTGGGAAATGGGCTCTGTTACAAGCGGTTCCATCAGGACCGACTGGCTCACATAAGCTTCTTTGGCTTGATGCATTTTGAAAAAGAAGGGCTTAGTGAAAAGACCTCTATAGTGAAACACTCTACAGTGAAAAGAAGTCTTCTAGTAAAGCTAGCTTCTAAATACTCTTACAGTTTTTAGAGAGCTTTCTTAGGCATTAGCATTACAAAGTGCGATAGCACAATTTGTAACAGAAACCAGTGTTTAACCCTGTGCAGAAAACACTTTTTCTGGTTTTGTATACAACAATGCCATCCTCATAAAGCTTTTTGAACACACCTGAGATGCTATGTAAAACAGTTCTTAAAGGATCACATCAAAGTCACACAAGATGTGAAGTAAAAATTTTAAACTTAGAAAGCGCTAACTAGTTTCTGCTTTATGGTAGCACATTAGTTATTATTACTGTTTAAATTTAGGAAGAGTAAGTCTTTCACTTTCAAAGTAATATTTATTTTCCAATTGTGACATTCTGGTTAGAATCAAGAGATATTATGCCCATTTTCAGTCCTTTATATCCTTATTTAAACTACTTTTATTACCAGTTATCTGTTAAAGGCATGCATTTTTCTTAATCTGTTCATGCACAACTACCATTTGATGGTAATATGAATTCAGCAAATAGACTGAGGGCTGGAGCAAAGGCCTGATATTACTAATTCACTAAGAAATAAATTTACACCCAAAACATGCACTCAAATTTTGAGACATGACTATGTCACAGTTGTAATGACAGAGCTTTACTATTATTCACGTACAGATTTATATCTGCATCCACCTTACTCTGGCAAATGCAGTGCTAGTTCTCACTTATTTTTCTGGAATGGAAAACAAATAAGAGGGTGTTAGCTCGGTGGGGGAAGGGGACATTCAAAGAAGTGGAAGATGCCATCCTTTTATCTGCTGAATATGAGTATGAATGTTCATCATTAGTGGCTAAGTATCTTTCACATGGAATCAAAAGTTTTCACAGAGTCTTTCATGGACTTCACAGCAACTGCAAGCCCTCTTTCTCTCTAAACAAAATCCCATTCCTAGATTTAAAACTATTAAACTGTCTCCTGTATCTGCACTATGCGATTTTATTTGCTGTCAGCTACATTTGTATTGATTGCTGATGACAGCTTAAATTCAGCATCTACTATGTCAACATCCTGCACGTATTTCTTTTTACTCCTTTAATGTTTGAAAGGCTGTTTATTGTCTAATTTTCACTTAAATTTTCAAAACATATATACTAAATCCATTTAGAAAAGGCTGGAAATTTTCCATACTTTATTTTGAGCTCAGATTAAACTGGATTTAACCTCAGTTTATGAGGTAAATCCAACTGCACGCTTCACCGGATTAAAAATTGGCCTTTGCATAAATTTTGCTGACAGATCTATGCTCCTGTCTGACTCCAGCCACCTCCAAAAATATTCAAAGTGGACCTTACCATAGCAGCTTGAGCCTCATCTTCAGGTAAGAACTCATTTGTATTCCGTTTGTAGTTTATGCAGAGCAAATGCAGATTTTTGAAGAAAACTACATATACATCCTGCACTAGGCTGCAGCTTGAGTAAAAGCCACCCCCATATTGCAACCATAGGATCTAGGAACACAGTCAGGTTGGAGGAATAGTAATTTTCCTGCAAACAACAACAAAATCCATTTTTATATATTGCTCTTTAACAAAATCCAATGCCACTTAAAAGAATGTATTCATATGTCTTTAGACCTAGAAGGAATTAACAGTGCTCACCCAGCCTACCCTTCTACAGAAACCAGGTAGATCTATTATGCTCTTTTAAACAGCTTAAGCAGTTTTATGTCTACTAATTTTCCTCCACATGCACTGAACCTAGAAATTCTTTGTGGCTGTTTCCTTCAAATATAACCTCTCTCTGGTTCAGGAAATACTTGATAATAAGGATAGTGACAGCAATAATTTAACATTAAAAAAAAAAAAACAAACACAGTTTGTTAGATGCCACAATACTGTAGTGTGTAAAAGGAGAAAGAACACTTGAAACAGGGAAATCTGAGAAACGTGCTCTGAGCTTTATCCAGAAAACAAAATACAGCACCACAGAGGGATAACTACATTTAGTACCCCTAACCTAATTAGGTAGCATTTGTAAGGTGCTTCTGGTAAGTGGCTCTGTTGTAGAAGGGAATATTGGTCTAAAATAATATTCAAACCTGTAAAACCTAATGCAATGTTAATCAAGAACTAGAGAAAAAAAAAACAATGTATAAACTCTGATGAAAATCATTTAGACGTTATTTCTCAGGGTACAAATATTTTTATATCAGTTTTAATCAAAATAAACAAATGGGATTAAAATTTAAGCACAATCTAAAAATGCTCTAGAACTTCAGGATAATATACAAATGAAAGTTTTGTAGTGTCTTTAGAAAAAACACTGAACTTACAAAGTATAAATGGAAAGTTAAAACTAAATTTCAAATTTAAATCTGAATCACATCTTAAGAGCCAGTTTAAAATATAAAATGCAAACTCAGCATTGCAGAGTCTGTGGAGGTAAAGAAAAAAAACAAAACAACAGTTTAGCAGAAGTTCCACTCTCAGGGCAAAGATTGTGGGTTGTACTTCTACATGAAGTCGTCTTGATGGTAGGAGTGTAATTTGATTGCAACTGAGAAATGGTGTTTAAGCAAATACTGGGCTTAGTAGATGAACAGCATAAAAGTAAAAAAGGCCTTCAATAATGAAAAATACAAACGTGATTAAAATCCATTTGTGCAAAGAAAAATGAGAAAAAATGAACTTTATCATTTTTCTTTATATTATCACATAGACAGAATATGTAGTTTACCCTTTGCTTTCTCTGGTAGCTCATGTTATTTGTACTGTATTTGCCACTTCTCAGCTCCTTTCCAAAGCTCACTCACTACCTAGTAGTGCAACACTTCCCATCTTCCCCTAGAAAGATGGCTGATGTCTCACATTACACTTCATTTCTTCACTAGAAAAATAGGATGTGCTTATTTTTATTCAGTCTAAAATAGTACAGTAAGACAAGGTTTTTACAAATACAAAATAACCTTTATATAAAGCAGATTTTCAGCAAATGTTCTTCTTAAAAAGATTACCTGAATCTAAGTAGACCAGAATAGAAATATTTATAGTTACAGCTGCTTGAAAGTTTGCTTTAACAAAAAAATGATTTTTTTTTAATTGAAAAAATGAAGAATTTTCAGAAATTCCTCAGGAAAACTTTAAGTAGGTTAATCCAGTGTCAGACACTAAGGGCAGCAGCAACAAAAAATACAGGCAATTCACAATAATAAGAGGTTTCAGAAAATTACCTTAGAAACTTACAAAACAAAACTTTTGTATCTTTGCCAAATATATAGTACTACTGACAAGGAATTAGAAGTCAAAAGGAGTACATAATCATACCAAAAAAGTTTTCCTCTTAAAATAAAATAACAATGATAATAACGGAATGTATTAGTATAGAACTATGTATTAGTATGAATGTATCAAGCACGTAACCCTGATGCTGGCTACTAAAGGAGCTTGGATTCCCACAGGGACCAATACTGACAAAGATCTATGTAATGACTCCCACTGCAGAGTTGGGCTGTAAAGCTTTACTTCAAGCCTTGCTTGTTCCTACACAGCAAAGCAAAAAGAATCACAAGCATAAAAAAATTTATACTCTTGCCACAAAACCATTCAGGTATACAAATACTACAGCTATTTATATTTTGTTAATTTTTACTTGTTTTAATAAACTAGGACAGTAATTATAAGGACACTGAAATGCAGTGGCATTGGGATAGTATATTAGCATTTACAGAACTCTAAGTAATTATGGGATGAAACAGAAGGTGGAATTCAGGCAGAGGAAAAAATAAAACAAAAATCCCTGAAACTGTAGTGCAAACACAAAAGGAGATATTGAAAAGGAGCAGTTAGATTACCAACTGTAGACTCAAAACTTTATTTAGCAAGTCCCAGCTCTGTGTGATGGTAGTTCAAATGTAATAAGTGTAAAAAATGTATCAGGTACTGCTGCAACTCAAAATGAATGACTCTTTTTTTTTTTTTCCTCATTTTTCTACACAATGTAGTTTGGAGTTTTACCTAACATACATTTGTTTTAAATTCAGTTTAAAGCCTCTGATTGCACAAGGGGGATTAACTTTATTTTTGATTTATTATTATAATCAATATATGAAACGCATGAAGAAATTCAAGTACTTGAATTGTTACTTAAATCTCCAAAGGCCAGCTAAAGCCCATCTTATAATATTTCTTTTCAACTGTATCTATTGTTAAGTCTTTTCAAAATAATGCAGTATGCAGGACTGACAGCTCTGATGGTAATAAATACTGGAAAAGGCAATTCCTGAGATAGCACCATTAATCAAGCCACACTCAGCTATTCTGTCAAAAATACTAGTTGTGTTAATTGCAAGGCTTCAGGTGACAATCAGCTAGCAGGCTCTGCTGATTGAGATGAATCTTTTAATGATAGCTTAGGTGATTATCTTCAATCTATATTTACAGATCGCTTAGGCTGCTTGATTGAAGAAATTACTGATGAAAGATTCACTGAGGTTGGCATTGTTTCCTAGGAACAAGAATGATACTGGGCAGCAAACAAAACACACCCCAGTCTCTCAGCTTCCACTCCTGTGGCAGTACTGCAGGCTCAGCTACCAACCTGTAGCAGACCACACACCTGCTCATGACTGATGATTGATGCACTGCCCATTCACACTAGCTGTTAAGTGTCAAAAAAGCATACCTACATCACCTTTGAAAGAGAAAGTTACATCCAACTTACTCCTGAAGTATTTAAAATCAACTGTACTTCAAATTTCTTGGAAACTATCTCTGGGATTCCCATTTGCTCTCCATCCCTTTCCTTTTCAGAAAAACACATTGAGGATTGAGGAATCTATGTTCTTTCAGTCTCATTCTATGTTTAGAGTCCAAATAAATAGACTACCATTATAGTCTATTTGATGTTCAACATGCAGCAAATTCAGCATTAAATATCAGATTTGTTCTCACTCTTCTACTCAAAACCCACAAGACCTGCAGAATTTTTATTTATTTATTTATTTTTAAAAGCAGCTGTTCCTAACAGGAAATTTTATCTTATTTTATTACTTTAGCTTTCTTTATTGAGAGTGCCTAAGTTAGAGAATAATGTCTGAAAATACTGTTTCCTAGCTGTTGCAAATAGTGAAATCCTTGTGCGCTGGAAGTGGACTGTGAGATAAATAGGAATGACCTTGCAAATGTCCTTTATGCCCATTCACAACCATTTTTTGCCATAACTGTTTTATGATAATTTGATAATTTCTTTATGGGCCTGCCAACTGCTCCTAATTCTGCTCTCTGGCACAGGAAAAATTCAATATATATATATATATATATATATATGTATATATATAATATATATGTATATATATATTATATAATATATATGTATGTATATAATATATATACATATATATATATGAATACATATTAATACATATATATATTGAACAACTCAATAGTTTCTTTTTGAAATGATAAGAGGCAAAAAATACACTTTTTCCAGAATTTGGAAATAATGCCTAAGACTATCAAGACTAAAAAAAAAAAAAAAAAAAGAATGCAGGTCCCAGTAACCCTGTGAGGTACCCTAAACATTCTTGGATTTAAGAAAGATTAACTATTCAGATTACAATGGGGTTAAATTGTTCTCCCATGAATAGGCTGCTACCATTAGCAGAACTTCATTAAAAGCATTCATATTTGTCAACAGTGTAAAAGGATGAGATTTGTGGTGTTCTCCACACAACAGGTGATAGCAGGCCTGAAACTGTGTGACTGCAGTTCTGTCTAGTGTGGCAGTCAGCCTCATACATGCTTTGAGAGTAGTATCTACTCAATTGCATTCCATAGTTATGAGTGAGGAACACCTACTTGATCATTCAGCGATGCTTCACACATCTTTATAACATCCTCGGAAACAGACACTTAGGAAACTTAATAGATGGCAACTTAAGGAATCCCAGTGATAAAAGATTCTTGATATCAGAAACCTATGTTCTTTACTCTCCAAAAGTTGCCTTTAATAGCCTGGTGTTGGTGAACTCCTCAGGAACTGAGCCTATTTTCTGAGCTCAGCTGATACTCAAAGAAAGCTTGCCAAAAGCTTGGTACCATGTACTGCCTATTACTGGCATAGGAATGGACATATATCCCAAGATGTATACTTTCATGAAATCTTACTTTTGCCTTTCCAGAGAAGCAGATCTTCAACTGAGATCTTCCTCGGTACTTTAAGTTTCTTGCTGAAACTGTTCCACCTTGTATAAATGAATTGCTGCTTTTTATACAAGAATAAAGAGGAAAATGTTATTTTAGAGCACTGAGGCCAAAGAATCGGGCAAGTTACTACTTGAAGATAGATTTTCATGTTTCACATACAACGGCATAATGATTAGAACAAGCAAGCGCAACAAACTCCCTGTAGCCATACGCTGAGCAGCATTTAGTATGTTTGAATGCTCTTAGAATGTTGAATCCAGCCCTCAGGTCAAAAGGGTAAGAGAATGAACAGAGCTTGAGGGCCTAATGAATTCCTAGCAGTAGGAGTTATGGGTTTATGTATTCCAGCAAGAGAAACACACACAGATGTCAGAGGCCTACAAAGTTAGAAAGCAGCACCTGAGATGAAGTACTGACATCCTCATAGAGCTTGAAGTGTTGCACTCAGGTGCTTAAATCCCTTTTGAACCTACCAAAGAAAGGACAACTTTTCTTTTTCAAAGGATGGAGCATTCAGATCTTTGCATACTAAGACTAAATGCTTTTGTGGTTTTGTATTGTTCAGTGATTTTTTTTACTCACTGCCACTTACGTGAGATTGTCTAATATTTGACCAGATTGCCTCAACTTCTAATGTGCATTTAAAGTTCTTGCATGTTAAGTCTGGAAAAATCATGGCTACAAGGCAAAGCATAATGCTTAAATGAGACATCAATTGACATACTACAAATATTTAAGACCAATCAAAGGTACATCCACGGTAATTAGAAACTACAGTTGGAATATTTATGTGACATTTGTACTTAGAATATAGTGACACACTACATTGTTTTTGTACAACTTTATGTAAGATCAAATTTCTTAACTCTGAGAGACTTGATTTTTCAAATTAAGTTAGAGTTGTAAATCTATCGCTGAACTCAATTGAAGATGGTATCTTAGCTCAGCTAAGCACATTGGAACTTGTCTCCTGCTTAAACGTCTTTGTGATTCAGTAACCATACACCCCTGTGACAGAAACCCGAGAGACCAATACAGCAGTCAGCCCAAAACACAGTAGCTTAACACAAAGCACATCTCGCAGTGACTTTCAATTAGTCAGTCAAGAATTCATTGTGCTCTCATTTTCACAAAAGCACTGTAGTAATCCCACCTGCTCTGAAGTATGACATCTGTAGTTGCACAACCTCCTCATGGGAAATTCAAGTTCCTATTTTAACCAAGAGAAGGCCCTCAAAATAAATATTGGAGATTGCACTTTCCCATCCTGAAGATGGGAAAGTGATGTTAAAGAATTAACTGTTTACAAGACAGAAGAGAATATTAGAAACACGAGCCTGTTGATGATATTCTCCCTGAAGTAATGGAAACCTGGTATATAAATCCCCTGATTTCTCACTTCTTTTGCTGAATTTTACTGGGAGCGAATGGTAAAGATGGGCATCTAGCTTGAGGGCTCATGTATGAAATCTACTGCAATCTGCAGGTAAGTTTTGAAGAGTCTGCTTTTGCCAATTTAAGTATGTGCTGTCACCAGCTGAATAACTTCCTGCATTGCTCAGTCCCTTGCCGCATACTCCTGCAGTCTACCTTGTATTGATATTAGCAGCTGGGTGGCGGTCTACTAAAACAGAACAGTTTGCTTACCCGCACTCTGAGAAAAAGGAAAAAAAAAAAAAGGGTTAGTTTTCAGCCAGACCAGAAGATTGATCCCTTTTGCAGACCTGCATAATCATCAAAACCAACCGCATAACTGGACAAGAGAATGTACTTTGGAGGATGCAGGTAGTACCACCCCTTCAGGTGCAGCAAAATGTTTATCCAACTGAAACCACACTCCAGGGATGGACAAAGCTAATAACATAACCTTGTCTTCAGCACTTTATTAGCTAATCATTCTCTATTCAGTGTATTTTGATGGATTTTATTACCACCACTGTGGCAATGTGCCTAGAAGCACACGAAGAAATGAGGATGGTATTCTGTACATACCTGAGGGCTTTGATACATACTCCTCCAGCAAACAGCTACAGTCAAATTGCCCTGGAGCTGTTTGCTACAGCACTTTGATCTGAAGTTATGAACCTTACAGCAGAACCAATGGAACAGGATGCAGGCATCTGCTATTGTCAGCACAAAGTGCAGAGAGAAGTCAGAGAAGTTAGACAGCTGGATCTGGCATGAAGACTTTGGGGTGTGCATGCACTCTGGTCTGCCAGTCCTGGTACAGGAACAATAATCTTCAGAAAAGAGATACAGAAGACAGGTAGGAGGATAACATCGCAGAAGGCTGTTTGTTAACATCCTGAAACCCATGCAGCTGTGATATTACCAGCCTGAAGTCCCATTTTGTGGAGCTGTCACTTTCACTAAACAGCAAAACTGAAGTTCTCATAATCATTGCCAATAAGCAAGATCATAGGACTTCTCATGTTGACAGGTTCATAATGGCAGAAGATTGAATTTAAGCAGAGTTTATTAATACTGCAGCTACTCCAATATATTCTTTTTCTACTTCAGACCATATAAATCAAGTCTTCAGTAACAATCAAATTAACAAAACACACTTGACTGCGTATGAATTAGACTGTTTATAATACTTTTAACATTTGCCCTTTTAATCTGCAATGCTTTAATCTATTACTGTAAAAATTTCAGAAAAAATCTTACATAAAAATTGATTACACAACAAAAAGTAGAAAACTATTCCATGTTGCTCCTCAATGCTCAGAAAGAGTGCTGTAGATAAAAATACTGATTTATGGAAAGTTTTAGTTGCTTTACACTTTTCTATGTATCAGTCTGCCAACCAAACCTCCATCCTCACTGATGATCTATTACAACTTGCCTTGGAATTTTTCCTCATAATGATGAGTGTCCAGGATCAGTTTTAAGCTAGCAACACAATCATTTTTATTTTCAGATAGCCTGTCACATCGTACTCTCTAAAGAACCACATAAAGCAACTGCTTGTGAACAATAAGCGTTCATGACCTAGCTAAAGTATAACCTGAAATCTGTAGTATTGCAATAGTGCAATCTATTGTGATACTGCTTCTCAATTGTAAGAGCTTCTCCCTCAATAATTTATCACCAAATAAAATTCCAGCTGAAGTGTACATTGGAGTCTGCCTGGAAAGTATACAGCAGTGTTACAAAAGAGATCATCACTTCTGAACAATAAAAAGCCCTAATATTTACAACACAACTATTTTTGCAAAACTTTACTTCCGAAGAATCAAAAACTTAAATTTCAAAAGATTTTTTCCCTATCCTATTAGGAAAACATAAATGAATGAGACCACTAGCAAGAGAAAAACCCTCATCTACTGGCACACTTTGAAGTTGATACTGTTCTTATTTCACATACCGCTACCTGTCACTGTAAATATATCAGTTAATCACAACAAAAGAGAGTGTATTGTACCAGCCAGCAGGTGTATTTACCTCTGCTTATTCAAACTGTCTAGGGAAAACAAAAGAACACAAAACCACAGCAAATATTGTTAAATACACAAACATCTGTAAGTGTTTGCTGCTTGACTCAGCAGCTCAAAGAATAACAACACAAGTCATATATAAAACCCAGAGATTCTACCACATCTCCGTGGTCATTTCAGTACTGTTATTTTCCTTTAAACTTAATGGAACTTATGTGGAGGAAATTATGTGGAGGAATGAACAGGCCCCCTAGTGAGAACATTTGTAGTTCAACGCTTACTCTATAGCTATAATACAGAAGCGATGCATTAGAATAAACTTAACTTTTTCACCGATGTTCCCCCCCCCCCCCGCCACAGACTACAGTTATGTGCAGTGAAATCCTGCACCCATTGTTTCAAAAGTAGGATAAACAAGGTTGCTAAACAGTCACAACAGTCATTCAGTAGCAAAAGCCAAACAAATGCTAATAGAAAAATTTCTCAGTTAAAAAGCAAATCAGCACCACTGTAGTTTCTTCACCTTAAAGACATAAAAGATTCACTCCAATTCATATAATATTATTTGTAGTTTCTATTTCAAAGTCCAACCTTGATGTCTTTGAAAATCTGCGTAACTCCCTATTGAGGCAGTTCCAGATGAAAGGAAGCATTTCAATGGCAATCTACAGTGAAATGACAAGTTTTCTTCAATAAAGGCATACAAAACATTGTCAGAGTTCATATAGTTTTTTATTAATGAAAAATTCAGTGCCATGGAAAAACATGTCACAGTTAGATTTAGGAGCCAGACCACATAGCGAAGAAATTCTTTATTTGTCTACATTAAATAATTCCCTAAGAAATTTTAGAAACAAAAATTAGAGGCTAAGGTACTTAGCAGGATTCAGAAAACAAAAAAACAACAAAAAAACCACCTTTACGGACAGAATACATTCAACTGTACTAACCTGCAAATTTCATATTCTATATATATTTTTTCCTGTATTTTGTAGTAAGTCAGAAGTGTAAAAAAAACAAACAAAAACTTTCTGATTTCATTTTTTGCAACCACAGAAGAAACTGTCAGAGTTTTTGCCTACTTTTGTCAAGTGTTTGCATATATAAAACCTTTTTTTAAAAAGGAAAAATCACACCTAGTAAGTGTAAGAGAACAGCACTACTATTAAAAACTTAAGAAAATAATCATAAAATATACAAGTTGGGATTGTCCATAACATCAGAACAGTACACTGATAATTTCAATATACTGTCAAATTAACAACATATTCAAATAATTTACACAAACTGTTTCATTTAGAACTAATTCAGCATGACAAAAACAACTTACATTATTAAGCCATATGTATTAATACGCACATCTCATGGAGATAAATTTTATTCTCAGCTGTTGATGAGCTGACTCTACAGTAAGTTAGAATTCTAACTTAGTGACTTAAAATACATTTTTATAGATGTATCTATTTACTCATCTTTTAGCATGTGCAGTCATAACCTTTAGGTGTATATGCTAGTTAGCATACAGTGGCATAAGCACACTAGAAGCTCTCTTGCAAATGAATCCTTCTGGATTCAGCTGCAGTAGTCTGAGACATTATCACTCAGCTGCCAGGACTTAACCTCCTGTGTTCACAACGTACAACATTATCTTCAAAGTAGCAATCATTGAAATTTTATTGATCTGTTTGTATTTGACTGCCTGAATTTACAAGTACAGATGCTGTTCCATTCAATCCATCTGAAGATACAGTAGCCATAGCAGAAGGGTTGTAGGTATGACAGGTACGAAACACCATAAGCCACTTCAGATATACACTGTAAGAGCTCCTTTGAGAAAAGCTTGGTGTGACCTACCTACAGCAAACAATATGCTAGGAGAAAGAGGAGCCAAAGATCCCGTGACAAAAGTGAATCCTCCAAATAAATGACCTTGTTGATGAAGTTCAACAGCAGGCCATTGAAGATGACTACTGTCATTTGAATGTTGCTTTTTTTTTCCCCAGCTCTTACACAGACCAAATTGGAACATAAGGCAACGACCATTCTAAGACACTGTACACAAACATCCAAACAAGCTTACTTATAAAGATACATTATAGCGTGCTTTTATTACCCAAAGATTTTATTCAAGTAGACAAAGGATAATTGAAGTGTTTATGACAAGGTGTAAACATTTTGCCTTTTTTTTCCCCCCTTTTAATTTTTTCCTACCAATCTCAAGTTTAGTAAAGATTCAGTCAACTGATCAGCAAGCCACCATGTTAGGAAAAGTTCAGACAGACCGTTAAACATCTATAAAACAATCCTCAAGATGCCAAAGCGCTGTAATAAATAAAGCCTGTTATCTCCAGACATAGAAGGAAAGTGACAAACGTAGCTTTGTTAGCTATGGATAACTGTCACGCTTTAAGTAAGCAACTGCACCTTTTCAGTGATAATATACTATAGGAAAGGGCAGGCACATGGCATATCCATGACAAGCAAATCACTGTGATTCAGATTTGTAATTTATTTTACACTACAGGAAATCTGTCTAACTTCCCATTACAGTAAACATAATACTCCTTGAAAGCTTGTACTGAAATAGCAGGGATGTATATGGGAATGCGACTCCATCCAAAGGCATTCTCAGCTATTGTGACACAAGTTCTCTCTTGCTTGTCAATCTTTAATTAAGAGTTTGAAATGTTTTCCACTACTCTTCAATACCCTTTTCTTGCTTGCTAGCATTTGCATGTAATTTTCTTTTCAAGAGAAAACCAGGACTAAATCTTAAAAAGACAAACATTCTCAAAATAAGTCTCCCTTGCAGAATCACAGAATAGCTTGGGTTGGAAGGGACCTTAGAGATCACCCAGTTTCAACCCCCTGCCATAGGCAAGGATGCCACCCACTAGATCAGGCTGCCCAGCACCTCATCCAGTGTGGTCTTGAACACCTCCAGGGATGGGGCATCCACAACTTCTCTGGGCAACCTATTCCAGTGCTTCACTGCCCTCTGAATGAATAATTTCCTCCTAACCTCTACTCTAAATCTTCCCTCTTAGTTTTAAACCATTCCCCTTTGTCCTGTCATTGTCTGACTGGGAAAAAAGTTGCTCTCCATCATTTTTTATGTCCCATTTAAATATTGGGAATCTGGAATTATGTCATCCCTGAACCTTCTCTTCTCCAGGCTGAACAGCCACAGCTCAGCCCTTCTTTGTAGGAGAAGTCCTCCAACCCTCTGATAAAGTCTATGGCCCTCCTCCACTCTAACAGCCCCACATCCTTCTTGTGCTGGGGGCCCCAGACCTGGATGCAGAGTTTCAGGTGGGGCTTCACAAGGACAGAGCAGAGGGTGAAAATCACCTTCCTCACCCTGCTGGCCACTCCTCTGTTGATGCAACCCAGGATGCAGTTGGCCTTCTGGGATGCAAGCATGCACTGCTGGCTCATGTTGAGCTTTTCATCCACCAGAACCCCCAAGCCCTTCTCCACAGGGCTGCTCAGTGAGATCTTCTCCCAGTCTCTACTTATGTCTGAGATTGTCCTGACCCAGGTGCATCACCTTGCACCCAGACTTGTAGAGGCAGAGTCCCTCCTCCCTCCTGCCCTTTATTCCAGATTTCTGCTAAATACTTTCTTTTAAATGTGAAGGCAAAGTGAAGGTCCAGTTCAATAGCTATTATCCATACCCTTTGATTATTTAGTTCCTAAGAAAACAGACAGACTAGAAGAGCTGTTAGACGAAACAGCTGTTAAACAAAAAAGCTGTTACCCCAAAAGAGCAGGTGACATTTGGTATTACTCCGAAGTATTACTTGATAACTTAGTGGTATTCAGATCTCCAGTTTGTTGAGTTTGCAAAAGTTTAGGAATTGTGTTGAGAAGTGAGGTAATGTGCACTAAATTCCTGACTTATTGATATGCCTCCCTACAGAGGCCACTTTTCACCCATTTTATTTAGACGTCAATTTTTAAACAGAGACAAATCCCTTATGTTAACTGTGAAAGTATCAGCACTAATTTTGTAGTTATATCCACTTTCCTGATACACCGCAGAGTCCATTTTCAAAAATCTTGTCCTAGATTAAAGTACTGTTTACAATAATTTAGAGTCAATGTACCAAGTAATTAGGATAGAAAGCTACAGCACTACACAGAGCTATAATAAAGCAGAACACAATAAAAACAGTGAAGTAATATCTTCAACATCAACATTATCTTTGTACTTGTTCACATGATTATGGAACAGTGAATAAAAAAAACAAGAATTTTGAAAGTAACACCTGCAGAACCTTAGCATTCTCCCCCTCTAAGTTTAGATGTCAAGAAGACAAAAGAAATTAAATGCAATCTACTACTTGCTCAGCTGCCTGACTTAGCAAAGGGTTATAAACCATGAAGTGAAACTGAGTGAATCCTGGAATTTTGTTACATGCAGCACCTAGGAAAGAAAGAAAAAAAGTGTAACTTGCTACATTTAGGATTAGTGCCTTTGTTAGTGTGCTTTATCATCTAAAGATGCAGTTTTTACTGCTACCATGTTGTAATTATTCTTTTAGAATGTTTAACCGAAGACATCTTGAAAATATTTATTTTTAAAGTAAAAAAACAGTGCTACTGACTACTGTATAACTCAAAACAGTACCATAAATTAGGAAAATCTCTCTCTTTCAATCCTGATTAACTTAATGAGTTCCTCCAAATCTAATCTCTTAAAACACAGAGTTATGCGAAATAAAAGATCAAAGAAGAACAATAAGTAGTCTAACTAAATAAGCTAGGTTGATTAGCAAATTGTATTTGCTAGTGATCTGAGAGTTCGGAAATGAGATGCCTGGCACAATGACTGATCTTGAACTGCTTTGAAGCTATACTTACCAGACACATTCTCCCTGCCTTATGCCATATCTAGGGGAAGCATAAGCATTTGTATTTAAAAAAAAAAAAAATCTTCGAGATAATAATACACAATCCAGGAGAACACGTAAAGGTAGAAAAAAACAAAAGCATTTACAAAGTTCTACATACATTTTGTGAAAGTCTAAGACATTCAAATGCAGAGGTAAAATTAAAATCTTAATTCCACACTAGGACAGCTGCCCTGAAAACCGCCATTTGATATTATGAATTTTCATACTGCTGTACTGAATTGAATTGAATTTGAAAGTAACACCTGCAGAATTAAAGACTGGTGCTGTAAAGTCCACCTTCATGTTCTATTTCTGAGACCTACCTAGGTAGGGTCAACAGAATTGGCCTGTTGAGCAAAATACATACCATAACTTCCGGTTGTATTGGCACATATAACGGCACCAAAGAACTCTGGAACATACTTCTGGATTCTGGAAATAACTTTCTGACAGGCTACTGTCGGGTCCATTCCCATCCTCATATACTCTACAGCTTGATAGCTAAAAGCAAACAACCAAAAACAGACACACATTCCCACATCCAGTTAGCCATACTTAGGTTACGTATTCAATTGAGATCAAGATTTCTTTGAGTAATGCAAACATAATACACAACCTTTAGCCAAACTTCATATTGGAACTTATGCAATTCTACGTAAAATGTAATTAGAAGCAGCACTAAAAGGGACTGCAAGATGTCATCTACACCATCAACGATTCTAAGGCAATAGAACAACTCTGATCATTTGCAGAAGAGGCTAAACCACGCATCAGTTAAACAACTGCAAAGAATCAGCTGAAGAGTCACTGGCTTTGTCATTGAATGACTAAGTTTGACATTAGAATTTGTTACTAGTTTTCATGAAGACATGTATTGAGGTAGTTTTTTTTTTGTTGTTGTTTGTTTGTTTGTTTTTTAAGAAAATTGACCTCCAAAATTACTCTCCTACTATTGATTCTAGTATGCATTAAAAATATATATATTTTAGGGGAAAAAAATACAAGTTTCAGAAAAACTCAAAGTTAACAGAATTTGTTTCATAAATATGTTTTGATCATGATTTTAAGCCACTAAAATTTTTTACAAGATGTTTTTTAAAAAAATATCTTACTCTAAATGCAAAAGAACCAAAATGACTTCACGGTATCATTAGAAAAACAACGTGCAATGTTTGAGATATATCACTTGCATTTCCAAAATATCCTCAGAAGGGAAAAACAAACAAACAAGCAACCTTTTGTTGTCATTTACTTTCAGAAACAGAAGATTAAAAGACAATGCATAATTTAGTTAGAAGCAAACAATGTTTTGTTTTGATGAAAGATACATAAAGACCTCAACTTGCTACACTAACACTCATCTACAGATAGCATTAACTATGATGTTATCAAAGTGACTCAGAAGAGAACTTTTCTTGCATTTTCTGACACCCTACTACCCTTGATTTTTCATGCTGATCAGTTATATGTAGATGACTTGAACCTTTCTATCTGAATACAAAGCTGTATTTCATAGTGTCCAGTAATCAAAAACTGAGCTAAGATGTTACTATTCCAAAAAAGGTGGTCAGAAAACATTAGCAATTTCGCCCTTCAGTTGACAGTTCCAGACTTCTTGCAGGTCAATTTATTTTTTTGAGAATGCTTTTTTTTTTTTCCATTTGAGAATATCTAAATAGTATGGAATTAAGAATGTCTGATCTGTAAGTAACCTGTGATCAACCATCTAGTCTAAATTGTTTTGTAGAACCAGCTGGTGAAAACACAAAATGCTTACAACCAAATCCTTCAAGCTGCTAAACAGCAATGTAAGTTTTTACCAATTAACTTCATAATGGAACCCAACTCAGTACTATTGCCAGTACCCAATTCCTCAGAATAATTCACGAAGTTGTCAGTTGCTTTTTATTTCAGGACTGGTCTGCAATAACTTCACACTCATTAAGGATTGTAACTTTTATATATACACATCTGCTAGCAGGCATTTATAACTACCAGAGTTTTAGAAGAAGTACTTGAGTAATGTGAAGGCCACTACTTTAGATTCCTTCAAGCATCAGTACTCATTATGTACAGTACAGACTTCCATAAAGCATTTCTTTTGAAACTGACCCACAAGAATGACAGTCAAGACTCAGCGATGAAAACAGACACATTTAACAGTTTATACAACGGCAATGACAGCACTAAAACATCTCTCAGTTTCAAATTAGATACCAATTTCATTAAGATTGTTACAGTGACTCTTCTGTTAAAGAGCGCGCACATTGGTAATATACTCATTACTGCTGTCTGTTTGCTCTCAGCTTGGCAGTATTAATGGGATCTCTCATTAAGGTACTTAAGCAGTCACTTCTTTTAAGACAGCTTGTAACGATGACTTGATTTTGCTACTGTTCTTTTCCCTTCTATTCCTTCCTCTCCCACTTCAACCACCAGGAAGTCAGATCATCTTTCAATCAATTACTTCATTTGCTGAGTTCAGTTTTGCTAGAGAAAGCTAGCAAAGTCTGCACTAAGGACAAACCTGGGTAAGAAGCGCATCATGATGTCACCATCCCCAGTGGCTGCAGCTCCTCCAGCTGTACTATCAGCATAGGATCCTGCTCCTGCTATTGGAGAGTCTCCTACACGACTGTAGTGAACAATGAAGAAAAAAGTAATTCTATGAAAAAATTGAAAACTTTATTTACTAATGCCAGTGAGATTGCATTAACGTAACAGCTCTTGGCCCAATATCAGCAAGTTCTTACAACTTGGGCACACTTCTAACTTTGTCAGCCTTATCACCTCCAGCAGGGTTAATGCTAAACCCACAGAAGAACAGATAAAAAGGTCACTCCACGGTAATCAGAAGTGGTCTGTGATAACCTGACTGACCTAAGGCTTAATCCCACCTTCATTGTGAACCTCTTTGTTATTATACCTGCTATATGGCAGTAAGGCTTAGCCAGTGGGCAACAGTAAACAGCTGGGGATATCATTGTGTTCAGTTACTCTTGCTAAATACAGAAATTGTCTGAATTAGTTGACAGACAAAATTCCTAACTGCAGAGAAAAGCAAACAAATAAACAAAAAAATCAAAGACAAAACATAGGCCTGGGGCTCTGATTCTACATACATCTCTTTGGAGACTGTGCACCTTTCCAAAATGCTCACTTGTCTCTTGTGAGGTTAATTATAAGGCAAGGCATCAACGTGACTTTTTTTTTTTTGTCTGTCTGTACACTGAATTAAGCCATCTGAAAAGCAATCATTCCCTCAAATAAACCCAACTCATCCTACAACTACATCAGTTTCTTAGTATTGGATTTATTGCAGCCCAGAAATAACCAAGGCCATTTTCTGATCCTCACCCTCTGAAAGATACACTGTTTAACTTTTACATAAGCTTAACATCAGCAATGAAACAGAAAAAAAGCCTTTTTTTTTTTTTTTTTTTTCATAAAATCAGATACTAACCCTGGAATTTTGTGGACTCCACCATTAGTAGATGTCCCAGAAGCAACGGTTCCATTCCCACCAATTACAACCATACCTAAAATTTTCAACAGGGATGAAACACACTCAGAAACACTTCTGACAGATTTGTTAAATTGGCACTATGGTTTTCATTAAACAGAACCATGACATCCAGACTACTTAAATTGATGTTATACTGAAAAACAGAAAAATCATACGCTTAATAAGTTTTGTAAAAACAAATTTGGAATCTTTCTGGATGTACTACAGGAGGCCAAAAGGAATCTACATCAGTGACTGACACACCATTTGGACCTGCACATTAGTGCTGTCCAAGCAGCCACTGCCTCTTAATATATGCCCATGTTACTTGGTAGAGAACCAGGACCTAGTGTCACCATATTGGGCACCAGTACCATCAGAACAAAGTTTGGGAATTCTATAAACAGTATTTGATTTGGGGCAGGGGATTGGGGGTGGGAAGGGAGAGTAGAAATCAAGTTAGAAGATGCAGAGTTTGGCAGTTTCTCTGTTTGGCAAAAGTGAAATACAACCTACCAAAGAAACCAGAATTACACAACAGGTAGTCAAATACGTGGACTAGCGTATTTGTTGCTAATTTTGTGCTGATGTGGAAGTAATTGCCTCATATTACAGTAGCTTACATTGACACTTAGGACGTGATTTCAGATCCACTGCTTTTCCACAAGGTGATACTTCACCTCTTTAAGAGAGGGCAAAAATTTTTTTGGCATCAGCTTCAGTATAAAGTGAGAGCCAAGAAGCAGAATTCTAACAGTTGAATTCTGTCTCTCTGTTTTCATTAGGCCACTATCTCTTTCTCAGAGAAAAGTTCTCTGACCAGTGAAATTGGAAAGTAATAGAGGCACTGACTCTATGGCCACCATTATCATCTACAAGAAGACTGGAAGGGCATCAGTTCCTAACAACTTCATAAATGCATCCTGAATGAAGACTCTTCTCAAAATGTCAAGGAGGCATTTCATATAGAAAGCAAACAATGGGGTGAGAGAGCTTGAAGTACAAATACAAGCGCCAACATTTACTACAAAACAGCTTAGGACTACTTAATGATATATCGTGTCCTGAACTGTATTTATCAGACTCCCCTCTCAGCCTGACACTCCACAATTTTAGAGCTTTTGAGAACATATTAAAGACTATACCAGTAAATAAAGCTACCTACCAGCTTCAGAATTTGGTAGGTTGCCTGACTTTCAAAGAACATTGATTTGTTGTGAGTAGGGTGGACTGGAAGTAAACAACAAAGATTCCCCCATGAAGTGACTTGTTAACTCTTGGTGTTGCAAATACTGTCAGGCAGAGAGTTCTGAAACGCTGAGGAAAACCCATCTTAAAACAAAAAGTGTAAGTTTCAAGACTGCAAAGCTTTGAAAGATATGAACCTGTAACTGCTCCAGATTCCACCCCACTCCCTTAACAGTTGCTGTCTTGTCAGGTCTGCTCGTTAACCAGCTGATAGGCTTAGCAATTAAAAGTCCTCAGTCGGTAATCTCTTAGTCTTTGGGACTACTACTGATAACTGTTTTTAAGGACAGCAGTTCCTGTAGAAACGTATTGATTTAGCCAAAAGCTAAGTACAGAAGAAAAATGAAAGTAAGCCTTGTTTTGTAAGTTTAAGGACAATTTGACAAACGCTGCTTTTGGCAACAGGACTCTTTACTCACTTCTTCCACCTTTGGAAAAGCCTTTTAAGTTGGTCTGACAGCTACATAGGAGAGTTGACCTAAGTTAACTATAATCAGAATAAAAATAGTTATTTTTAACCTCGATCAGTTTTCTAAGCATCTGTATCTGCCCAGTCAATTGTGCTAAGGTAGCTGAGGGAGAAGTAGTAAGGCAATAAACAAGTAGCTGAAGTCAAAAGATGAAGCAAGTGGCCATGCAATAAGTGCAGTGGGAAAAAAAACAAAACTACTTTTAGGCACTTGATCCTAACACATAAATTATACAATCTTGAAACTACTATAAACAGAAATGAAACATTATGAAATAAGTTATTGATATCAAATATTTTGTTTTCAACTCAGAATGACTTAATAGGAGAATGAGAAAAAGACAGGTTTAGAGTTACCAAAGGTTGTTACCAATAGTATCATGATTATGAACGTTTCTTTGTGAGATGGTCCATTTTTCGCAAATAACCTTTTCAAGTCGTTTATATGGCCCACATGATTTTGAAGAATCTGGTACCACATTCTGTAATTATATGCATGAATAATGTTATGCTTCATTACAGATAAACCTGTAAACATTACACTCAATACCTATGAACTACTACACAAGTATCACATGCCCAATATTTAAATTATAATACCAATATCCTAGAAATATTTTGTTTGAAGAACATAGATTGACTTCTGGCATTACATGGTAAGAAGGTTGTATTAATACACAGTTATGTTCATCAAATTAAAGATTCTCGTTTGCTTAACAGACTGATCAAAAAAGTTCATTTTTCAGCAAAATTAAGAAAATTTTAAAGCTTAAAAAAAAAGGATGAATCGAATCTGCTTTAATAGTGTCAAGATATTTTCCCCAGTTGAAAAGGAGAATATGTATTGAATTAAAGTGGCTCGGCAATACAGCATTTTAGATGCAAGAAATAATGGAGACAACGTACAAATATGCAAACCCACAACACCTATACCAAAACCAAACCCACCACAACAGGCAATGTTGGATCAGTGTAGTTACCTATGTAATGTGTTCACGGTTCTACATAAAGCCGCTCTATTTAAAAATAGAGCGGCTTTATGTAAAAATTCGTTTCAGGATTTTATACATGCATCAAAAAATACACTCACTGCTTTGTTTAATCTGAGAAATGTCCAAATATGGAGTTAAAAAAAATCCCATATCAAAGCACTATCGCAGAATGTTCAAAACCAGTAAAAATTAAGAAGCAAGACCTAGTCACATACTCTTCCTGAGTCTACCAGGTTTGTTCTGCGCATTAAGCAGAATACTTGCAACACTTCCTCACTTGCAAAGCAAAACTTCAATATAAGCTGGAAAAGACACAACATTGCATTAATGGCTTTCTAATCCTCCCCCCTTCACCACAACCACTGCACTGTACCTTCCAGTAGTTTGGCTGACAGCTTTGATTAAGCCACTTTGAATATATCGAAAGAGATTTTGGGGTAGTTAAATCTTCATATGGAAACCCCATGCGTACAGCAAACAGGGAGGCTTTGAAAACAACAACAAAATCAAAACCATTATTTTATTTGTGTTTTTATATATTTTATGAAAATGCATACATGTAACTTTATCTATGGTTCAATGAATTCTACATCCTCTTTAGGAATGAGAATTTCTTTGGAGAATGATACCAGCCATTATAGTGAGGTACTACTGCAATAAATTCTCCCTTCACGGATGAAGATCAAATTTCCTCAATTCACTACAGCTATGTTAACAGGTATAAGTTTCAGCATTGAAAGACAGAAAAATTCAACTTTGAAAAAAAATATCAGATAGACACAAATAATCTGGAACACAAGTAGCCTGAGCTGTGTGCATGACAAAAATATTAAAATGAAAACAAATACTATATTTACTTAAAAAGCTAGTCTTTTATGAAATATGAGCAATAGCCAGTGGCACAATATTTAATACTAGAACACTGATATGTGTAGAAATCCATAGAGCAGCTTAAAACGTATTACACTTCTTCCTTGCACCTTTAAAATTGACTGCTCCCTTGTTTTGGAAATTAATACAGTAAGTAACAAGGGAGCAAAACAAATACCAACACAGGTAATGGAACAATGCTGCAATTCTTTCTTAAGAAAAAGGAAAAAAAGGCTGTTAGTTAGGGAAAGGATATTGAAACAGAAGATCAACTGTTCTCTCATTTTATTTGTAGATAACTTTGATGTCACTTAGTAACAGATATTGTTGCTAGATTTAGATACTTCAACAATTTATATTACCAATCCTTGATAGACAAATAACATCACTTTAACACAGATCTGAACAGGCTTCTCCAGTCCAGACATTAAGAAAAGCCTTCAATTATTTCTGGACAGCTTTTCCATGTTTTTCCTGAAAACAGATGCAATTAAAGTCTCTGCACTCAGAGTGAAGGTAAACTGGCATCTTCAATGAAGCATACTTATGTTCCCATTTCTAAAAGAGCAGATTTTTTTGAGATAAAACTGTGAAAGGATGACTGACAAACATGCGCAACCACAACTTTGGAAGCCTTGTTTATATTCCAGGAAGCAGAGTTGTTTGTTTTTACTCTCTGAACTTTTTTTTACTTGGATATTGGTCTAAGCATTGCTAGGACAAAAAGGGAAAAGGTCAGACATAATGTGATTATGAAACTTTCTCATCTACTGGGGACAGACCTGCAAATTTCTCAGATGAAAACCAAAATATCCCTCCTGTCCTGTAATTATTCTGCACTGAACGCAACTCACCAGACTCAAAAATTCTTAATGGTGAGTCAACTAACCTAACTCGTATGCCTCCCTGAAATGTACATCTCTTTTGAAATTAGTATTATTCTAACAGCAACAGATGACATTGTAAAAGCTTAATCATTCCTCAGGTTTGCTATTGCTTTTTTATGGCACCTAGGAGCACAGCTCCAATGTGAATTTTTACATCAAAGTCTTCATTAATATTTTAAAAACTGTGAAATACAGTAATTGTGCTTAATATATATTAAAACAGTAATATGTAACAGTAGCATCTTAATTCTGTCATTCTTTAGACAATGTTACTCCATGCTTTTAAATGCAATATTTGCATTTAACAGCTTCAGATTCTATAGTATCTTGCATCAAATAATTGTTAATATCTGTTATCAGTGTTATTAGCAAAGCCTTGGAAATACAAGCTTATATTTGCAGTTAAATTGGTGGAAAGACTGCAAGACTGTATTTATCTTTTCATGTGGAAATAATAGAATAAAACCTAATTCATACACATATAATAATATAGTAAACACTTATAATTTATTTTATTAGATTCACTTGATTGTCAGGGAATCCCTCCACCCATATTACCAACATTAATGAATGACAGATTTTGTTACAGCAGAAGAGTCTAAGACATGGAAGTAGTAAAAAGAATAAAATTACCTGACTCTCCCACTAATAATGTATGCTTAGTGTGCTCAATGACCTTTCGTGCTACACCAATTGCATTTTTGACTCGTCTGAGATCTGCAACTGCCCCAACTTCCATAGTGTTCCTGGAAACAGAAATATTTAGAACTTATTAGAAAATACAATAATATTTGCACAACTTTTATTAGACAAAATCTATTCTCATCTAAGTTTGAAAGCCTGCTGCTTTAATATATTGCTTTAATTGTTTATGCCATAGGCAGGTGGCATCACGCTAGTAGGTAAAAACGTTATACATATATTGTTTTCTTGCACAGGTTGGGCATGTTGCTCAAGTAACAATAATTCCATACATAATATTTTTGAGCAATTATCTTGCTACGTAAGCTCTTTACATGAAGTACTTCCAATTATTTTCAAGCAGACAGCTTTAAATAGCAAATAAAGTACAGAAGACAATTGCTACAGAAATGAAATATTTTATGGAACACATCTAAAAGGAAAGCTTACAGTGCTACAAACACTGTGTTCTGCAGCTGCTATATCTAGAGCTGAATTACTGCACTACATGTGAAAAGTCAATAATAAACATAATTAGTTACTCTTCCACCACTTAAGCACGGTTCTCAGTTTCACAAGTCAACAAATAACTTGCCCATAGTCAGCCTTAAGCCAACAAGATCTCCGTAACAAATCTGACATTAAAGTATGCTAAAAATTACAGGGATTGTTCTTTTCTCCACACAGTCTTCTTACCCATCCATAATCATTGCGTCCAGTGTTGTTTCGCCACTTTCATCTGGGCTTCCTCCATATCCCACACTCCCATCACATTGGTCAATCTCACACTGACCACAACCTTTCTCAACTGCATCCAGCTCAGAACCACCCAACTGTAATACTCGCCATGCTGTAATCAACACAAATAATTAAAGGTCACCCGTGAAAACAGACTCCATCACTGCTTTAAGAACGTTGGATACTATGATGATGCACTATAAGTAGATTAAAAAAAAACACATTATTTATAGGTGAAATAAATTAAAAATACAAACATATTCAAAAGAACATAAAGCATTCCTTTTCTAAATGCTGTTTTCCTTGCATATTTAATCACTGTTTCTGACTGAGAAATTAAGCTTCTTTTTTTTTCCTGACTGGGAAAGTATTATCTACCAATAAAGAATTCAACATTTATATATTAATTAACCTCCTCCTCCCAGAACCACCAAGTACTTTATCACTGTCTATTAAAAGCCTTTTGTGGGGGTAAGAAGATAAAGCAGGCTAAGTAAAACTTTTCTCTCAAAATAAAAACGAAGTTGTAACAAGCAACCCTCAAGACTCCCATAAGAGTACTAAGTGTTCAGCTGCAGAATAGAAAGATATAAAACTGGGAGATCTAAAAGATCTGAACCTACATCAGTAACTTCATAAGAGCAAAAAGAAACTTAAATAAGTATGCAAAGAATATTCTGCTCAGTCCTTAGTCTTCTGTTCCTTACCATCTAGCTCATTGTGTAGTTTTGTAAGACATTACAGATGTGCCAAATGTACATGACTTAACCAAACTGGGCCTGAAGGCTTTACGCACATGAAATATTTCACAAGGTTGGACCTGAGGCAAGATTTTCCTAGATGTCTGAGTTTGCTGCCATTGACAGCTGCAATCCTGCCTCCTCCTCCTCCTTGTGCTTGCTCTGGTGCTCTGCCATCTGCCAGACCCAGCAGAGGGACACAGCTCCGCTCCTTTTGGCAGAGGTGAACTATTTACCCTGTCTCAGCCATCTCAAGAAGCCCCATCTTCCCAACACTGCATGCAGTTCCTATTACAATCATTACTGTAAGCAGTCTTAACACATGCTTTCAAAACCTGCAGCACAAAGGCCTTGTAGTTTTCAAGACAGTATTTCAGCTGTGACCTATACAATCCTCTACAGGTAACCCACCTCACTAGCAAGACTTACTAATGAGTTATTTACAACCCAACTATGTTAAAATAACCTATAAGCCTTTTTAAATTGGTATCCACAACTAATTTACGTTGGCAGCATTGCCATAGGCAAACCCGCTTTGACCGTTAATAACACATCACAATACAACAAGCTCCAAAAAATGTAATATTCAGAACCATCTAAATCTTGGGCGAGGTGAATGAATCTCAGAAGGACACCACTAACAACAAATCGCTATTGCTAACCACTGCAGAAGCATAAATCACCGTATCAGCGACATTTTTAATTTAGCTTTTCCACAGACATTTTTTTTTTTTAATTATTACATTTTTTCCCCAACCTTGACCTGCACACCACTCGCTGGCAGGGTCTCAGGGCCCAGCGGCGGAGGCACTCAAAGCTCCGCTGCTCGGCCCCCTCCCCCGGGCACCGCGCCGCCCCCCCACCCATAGGGCGACATTTTGCAGCTCCCCTTCCGGATCGCTCTGACCCTTGACAAGAGCAGGAAGGAGCCGGGCCCCTCAGCAATTTAATGGCCGCATGCTCACAGCTCACCCCGCGGTTTTTTTTTTTTTATTTAAAGCACCCGAAGCCCCCTGGAGCCCCACCAGCCCATCAGCATGGAGGGCGCAGCAGGGGCAGCACCCAGCAGCCACCACTACCCCTCAACGGCGCAGCGCTGCCCCCCGCCGGGGCACCTGTCTCTGTGGCTTTCCTAAACGCCCAGGTGTTGATGACTACGGGCAGGGCGGCGGTGCTGCCCGCCCCACACGAGCCCGCCAGCTGCAGCACGACGAGCAGAAGCTGCGCCACCACCGCCTGCCGCCCGCCCCCGCTGCCTCCCGCTGCCGCCGCCATGGCCGCGCTCCGCCCCATGGGCGCCGCAGGGACGCCGCGGAGGAGGGAGCTGAGGCGGTGCATGCGCCCAGCGCCCGGCCGCGGCGGGGGGAGGCGGTTGCCGGCTGGTGGAGGTTCTCTGAAATGGCCGGGCATGGCATCGGCCCTTCAGGAGAGTGTTTGCGGCAAGGAAGAGCCGCAGGTGTCATCCAGACGGGACCGCGGCTGGCCCAGCGGCGGCCGGGCTGTGGGGCAGTGGGCTGGTGGGCTCGAGAGACTGAGATAAAGCGTGTTCCTCAGCCAACTTCTGAATAAAATGCAATCGCAGCATGTGCTCAGAGGTCCACGAGCATCTCTTTCACATGCCTTCTTGTTAACTTTTATGCTCTTTGTCGAAAGCATCTTGTGACACAGAATTTTCTGTGGATCTACTGTGGCAAATAGTTCATGGACTAGTTGATAATCATAGAATGGCTTGGGTTGGAAGGGACCTCAAAGATTAACTATTTGTAACCCCCCTGCCATAGGCAGGGACACCACCCACTAGATGAAGTTGTCCAGGGCATGCAGCCCGGCCTTGAAGACCTCCAGAGACAGGGCATCCACAACCCCTCTGGGCAACCTCTTCCAGTGCCTCACTGCTCTCTTGAGTGAAGATTTTCCTCCTAACCTCTAATCTAAATCTGCCCTCTTTTAGTTTAAAACCATTCCCTCTTGTCCTGTCATTATCTGATTGAGCAAAGAGTTGCTCTCCATTTTTGTAAGTTCCCTTCAAGAACTGAAAGGTTGCAATGAGATCATTCTGGAGACTTCACAGAATCACAGAATTGTCTAGGTTGGAAGAGACCTCAAGATCATCGAGTCCAACCTCTGACACTAACAAGTCCTCCACTAAACCATGACACTAAGTTCAACATCTAAACATCTTTTAAAGACTTCCAGGGATGGTGACTCCACCACCTCCCTGGGCAGCCCATTCCAATGCCTCACAACCCTCTCAGTAAAGAAGTTCTTCCTAATATCTAACCTAAAACTCCCCTGGTGCAACTTTAGCCTATTCCCCCTCAACCTGTCACCAGGCACATGGGAGAATAGACCAACCCCCACCTCTCTACAGCCTCCTTTAATGTACTTATAAAGAGCAATAAGGTTGCCCCTGAGCCTCCTTTTCTCCAAGCTGAACAAACCCAGCTCCCTCAGCTGCTCCTCATAGGACTTGTTCTCCAGGCCCGTCACCAGCTTTGTCGTCCTTCTCTGGACTCTTTCAAGCACCTCCATGTCCTTCTTGTAGTGAGGGGCCCAAAACTGAACACAGTACTCGAGGTGCGGTCTCTTCAGAGCCGAGTACAGGGGGACAATCACTTCCCTAGCCCTGCTGACCACACTGCTTCTTATGCAAGCCAGGATGCTGTTGGCCTTCTTGGCCACCTGAGCACACTGCTGGCTCATATTCAGCCGACTACCCACCAATACTCCCAGGTCCTTCTGTGTCAGGCAGTTTTCCAACCACTCATCTCCCAGCCTGTAGCTCTGCTTGGGGTTATTGCGCCCCAGGTGCAGGACCCGGCACTTGGCCTTGTTGAACTTCATGCAGTTGACCTCAGCCCATCGGTGCAGCCTATCCAGATCCTCCTGCAGAGCCTTCCTACCCTCCAGCAGGTCGACACACGCACCTAACTTGGTGTCATCTGCAAACTTACTGAGGGTGCACTTGATCTCCTCATCCAGATCATCGATAAAGATATTAAAGAGGACCGGCCCCAGTACCAAGCCCTGGGGAATGCCACTAGTGACCGGCCTCCAACTGGATTTGACTCCATTCACCACAACTCTTTGGGCCCGGCTATACAGCCAATTTCTAACCCAACGAAGCGTACGCCAGTCCAAGTCAAGAGCAGCCAGTTTCTTAAGGAGAATGTTGTGGGAAACAGTGTCAAAAGCCTTGCTGAAGTCAAGGTAGACCACATCCACAGCCTTTCCCTCATCCACCAAGTGCATCACTTTGTCATAGAAGGAGATCAGGTTCGTCAAGCAGGACCTGCCTTTCATAAACCCATGCTGACTGGGACATATAACCTGGTTCCCCTCTAAGTGCCGCGTGATGACACTCAATATAATCTGCTCCATGAGTTTCCCTGGCGCTGAGGTCAAACTGACAGGCCTATAGTTTCTTGGGTCTGCCCTCTGGCCCTTTTTGTAGATGGGCGTCACGTTTGCTAGCTGCCAGTTGACCGGGACCTCCCACGATAGCCAGGACTGTTGATAAATGATGGTAAGCGGCTTGGCCAGCTCCTCCACCAGTTCTCTCAGTATCCTCCGGTGGATCCCATCTGGCCCCATCGACTTGCATACATCCAAGTGCCGTAGCAGGTCGCCAACCATTTCTTCATGGATAGTGAGGGCCACATTCTGCTCCCCATCCCCTTCCAGCAGTTCAGGGTACTGGGTATCCAGAGAGCAACTGGTTTTACCACTAAAGATTGAGGCAAAGAAGGCATTAAGCACCTCCGCCTTTTCCTCATCTTTCGTAACTAAGTTCCCCCCCCATCCAGTAAAGGCTGGAGATTCTCCTTAGTCCTCCGTTTTGCATTAATGTATTTGTAAAAACATTTTTTGTTGTCTTTGACAGCAGTCGCCAGACTGAGCTCCAGATGACCTTTGGCCTTTCTAATTTTGTCCCTGCACTGCCTCACAACATCATTATAGTCCTCCCGAGTGGCCCGCCCTCTTTTCCAAAGATTGTAAGCCCTCTTTTTCCTTCTAAGCTCAAGCCACAACTCAGCCAGGCCGGTCTTCTTCCCCACCGGCTTGTCTTTGGGCACATGGGGACAAACCGCTCCTGTGCCATTAAGATTTCCTTCTTGAACAGCACCCAGCCTTCCTGGACTCCTTTGCCCTTCAGAACCGCCTCCCAAGGGACTCTACCAACCAGTGTCCTGAACAGTACAAAGTCGGCCCTCCAGAATTCCAATACAGCGGTTTTACTGGTCCCCTTCCTGGCTTCTCCAAGTATGGGGAAATCTACCATTTCATGGTCACTCTGCCCAAGACAGTTTCCAACCACCACATCTCCCACCAGTCCTTCTCTGTTTGTGAAGAGAAGGTCTAGCGGGGCACCTCCCCTGGTAGGCTCACTAAGCTATCTTCCACACTCTCCAGAAACTTCCTAGACTGCTTTCTCTGGGCTGTGTTGTGCTTCCAGGATATATCTGGGAAGTTGAAGTCCCCCATGAGAACAAGCGCTGACGATTTTGCAACTTTTGTCAGCTTCCTGTAGAACTCATCAGTCTCCTCATCCTGGTTTGACAGACTCCCTACCAGGATGCTTGCCTTGTTGGCCTTCCCGCTGATCCTAACCCATAGGGACTCAACCTTATCATTCCCAGCCTCAACTTCCATGACATCAAAACTCTCTCTGATATAGACAGCCACACCACCACCCCTTCCTTGCTGCCTGTCCCTTCTGAAGAGCTTATAGCCAGTCATTGCAGCACTCCAGTCATGAGTGGTCCCACCACGTTTCTGTGAGGGCAACCAAGTTGTAGCCTGCCTGCCGCACGATGGCTTCCAGCTCCTCCTGTTTGTTACCCATGCTGCGTGCATTAGTGTAGATGCACTTCAGTTGGGCCATTGCCTTATCCCCCAGCCTTGCCATTGTTACCCCTGGCACAGCTCCAACAAATCTTGTTTCAGCCCCGTCCCCCTTCTCACCTAGTTTAAAGCCCTCTCAATGATCCCCGCCAGCTCCTGGTCCAGGATCCGTTTTCCCCTTAGAGATAGAGACCCGTCTGTGGCTATCAGGCCTGGTGCCGAGTAAAGTGCCCCCTGGCCAATAAAAACAAAATTTCTGTGTTGGCACCAGCCTCTGAGTCACGTGTTTATCAGGTGGGCTTTCCATGTCCTCTCTGTACCCCTCCCTGCTACCATAGGGATGGACGAAAACACCACCTGTGCTCCCGCTCCATCCACTAACTGTCCCAGTCCCCTAAAGTCCCATTTGCTGGTCTTCAGGCTTCTCTCTTCAATGTCATCACTGCCAGCCTGGACTATTAAAAGAGGATAATAGTCAGAGGGGCGAACCAGGTTGGGAAGCTTTCTGGCAATGTCCCTGACCCTGGCCCCAGGGAGGCAGCAGACTTCCCTACGGGTAGGGTCAGGCCGACAAATAGGGCCCTCTGTTCCCCTGAGAAGGGAGTCACTCACAACAATCACCCTTCTTTCTGTCCTGGTGGAGGCAGTCCTGAGGCATGGAGTCGATTTCCTCGCCCCAGGCATCCTCCTGGGAAGACTTTCTACCTTTTCCTCAGCTACCGGTCTTCTCAAGCTCCAGGGCCTCAAACCTGTTGCGTAAGGGCACCTGGGAAGGTGGGGCTGGTGGGGGAGGGCATCGCCTGCGATGTCGAGCAGGGACCTGTCTCCATTCCTCCTCAGCTCCTAGGTCTCCTGCCTCTGCCCGACAGCAACAAGGCAGGGGGTTCACCCCCATTTGAGGTGCCTGTCCTTCAGGCCATGCAGGGAGTTGCTCCACCAGTCTATCTCACACTCACACTCCCTGATATCCCTCAACCTCTCCACCTCCTCCTTGAGCTCTGCCACGAGGTGGACCAGGTCATCCACCTGCTCGCACCTCACGCACACAGTCTCTTTGCCCCCTGCAGGTGGTAGCAACAGGCTCAGGCACTCCCTGCACCCGGAGACCTGAACTGCCGCAGTTTTCAGCAGGCAGTCGGTCTGGGTGTGTACAGACTTCTTGGAGAGCACACTGTGCCTGGTGTACACCACTGCAGCTGAGCTAGCGGTAGACCGCCGTTAAAGGAGGTGTTCGTA